CCTGCTGAATTATTGTCTCGGGCACACTCGTGGCCAGAGGAGGGATACCCTGTCTTTGCTCATCGTAGCAAGTCAGTAACGAGGCGGCTCATTAGAGAGTGACGAGTCATCTGCAGCTATTTGTGTTTCTTTGTGTTTAATTATTTATCCCAATAACGAAAAGTACTGTAACTCTTGCATGTGACAGTCTATTTTTAAGCCTTGTCTTCTCGGTGGTTTCAGACCCAGATGACTAATAATTGCATTTACTCTCTAAAGAAAATAAGCTGCTCTAAAGTGGCGCTTTTCTGAGGGCTCTTTACCTGCATCTGGGGGGGATGGAAAGCCTGGATAAGGGGTGACCTCAGATGTGGTGTGCCTTTTCCTGCTTCTCTGCTGTGGGTGGTGGGTGCTGGAGAGCTCTCAGTAACATTTTTGACCCTCCTGTCTGGAAGGAAAGGCAGCAGCAGCAGATGGAGGAAGGGAACATCCTGGATTTGCAGGAGAGGAAGGATGAGGAACGCCGGAAGATCCGTGAGGAGAAGGCGCGCCTGGCCCGCCGCGCTGCCATCCAGGTAGGGCCAAGGCCAGGGCGTCACGGCCTGCGTGAGACCAGTTTGTGGGCCTCTCGCCTGCATCTCTAGGGGCTTTGCAGGGAGCAGGGTTAGAGCCAGCCCTGGGAATGAGGCGCTCCCTACGGAGACAGAGGTGCCACGGAGCCGTTTCCCGTGGTGCTCCTGCCAAGCCCGGGCGGCTCGTTCGCAGCCTGCGAGGGCAGCGCTGGTTTCCATCCAGTTGTCAGGCCAAGGGTGACTACGTCAGGAAAGGAAGGTTGTACCTGCAGCTCCTCGGAGCGGCTGAGGATGGCGGTGCCTTGGGAAAGGGATCTTCCCATGGGAGCGGGGTCCCTCCGGGGTGGGCTGAGCACTGCGCTGTGCCTGCTGGCAGGAAGCACCTCGCCGTTCCTCGCCCCGTTTGCAGCAGGAAAGGGGCTGGTGCTCCTGGGGCCCAGATGCGGGACTGCCACAGGCCGTGGGCAGTTACATGTTGGCTTGCAGTACAGCTGAAGTTGTTTGGTTTTTTTTTAAAAAAACCCATTTCTCTTTGCCCTACATGGAATCATGTTTCGCTAGGGGGGTGGGCTCGGGGGAGATGCAGCAGTGAGCAGCTGGAGGACGGCAAAAATGCCGTGACAGCCTTGCAAACACGTGCTCATGCCTGAAGTGGCTTCCCAAAACTCGGCTAAGGCGGCCCCCTGGGCGCTGCGGTGGTGCTGGCCCTCTGGATTCGGAGGGAGGCCCGTTACGGAGCCACAAAGGACGCTGTGCAGGGACGTGCGAGCGGCCCCGGTTCACCTGTGGAGCTGGCAAGACCCTGGCTGCCACCTCCCCTCCGCTCAGAGCAGCAAAGAGTCGCTGGGCAGGACGGTGATGGCTGGTCTGGTGCCCTGCAGGAACTGCACCAGAAAAGGGCCCAAAAGGCTTTGGACGCAAAGCGCTCGGCAGAAGAAGAGTTGGCGCTGGTGAAGGAGAGCAGAAGGGTAGCGAAGAAGAAGCCTGCCAAACCTGCCGCCGCGAGGAACCTCCGGCCGGCCGGCGGCGTGGCCACAGCCCACAACG